ATGTCCTCTTCAAACTGCGTTTCAACTTACTTCATGGCTGAAAAATTCGATAATTCCGAACTGTTAGACAGTGCACGGAAGTTCATCTTATCAAATTTCGCCAAAGTTGCACAAACAGAAAATTTCTTACGTCTACCGAGTCACGAAGTTGAACAATTAGTGTCCAGCGACGATGTTGTTGTCAACTCAGAGGAAGATATTGTTAAAGCAATTATAAAGTGGACTATTCTCAAGAAAAGTGAAAGAAGCAAAGAATTCTGTAATCTCTTCCGTCACGTTCGATTGACCTTTTTGTCGCGTGACTTTTTGCTGAATAATGTTGTGACAAACGAACTTGTGACAGAAAATGAAGACTGTGTTGATCGCGTGAACAGCGCGTTGGCTTGGATGGATCGGAAAACCGATTGTGACCTTTCCCGGCCATATTCTCCGAGAAAGGCTTTGGAGAAATGTGTTATTGCGATATGGGGAGAGGACAAACCATTCCGCCCTCTTTTCTATGTTCCTGAAAATAATGATTTTTGTCACCTTCCGGGCATGACCGAACCAGACTGTGTGCCACAGCATGTTTTCTCGTGCCGAGGAAAACTATTCTTTGTTGCCCAGGAAGTAAATAAATCGCAGTATTATGACCCAGATTTTAATTGCTGGCGTCCGGCTCCATGGACCAAGACCGATTCAAGGGTAAATTGGTGCAAAACTAACCGGCAAGAGATAGGCAAACTATTCTTTCGGGCAGTAGTTGTTGTCGAAAACGAAATCTGTTTCATCGAGGACAACCTACAAACGTATTCAAGCTCTCTCTGTAAATTTAACTTGGACACGAATTTCACGACTCGTTCGAAGGACTGGGTAACAACAATCAGGACTTGTCTTGTCACTCTGGGCCAGTACATCTACGTCATTGGAGGGACTAAATCTGATGTAGATATTGTCGCCCATTGCTCTAGGTATGACATCGTGGAAAATACTTGGCAGAAATTAACGAACTTACGTTTGGCAAGATTTAGAGCCCTTGGAGTTGCAACACAAGAAAAGATTTACGTCGGCGGAGGATGGCTTGACTTTGGCGGTGAGATTACCAATACGTGTGAAGTTTATAGTGTAATAACAGATGAGTGGCATTTGATGGGTGGTTTAACAGTTCCTCGGGATATTGGAAACATGCTATCGATTGATGAATCTTTGTACGCGTTGGGTGGAGTTTGCCATCCCGTCCTCGGCAAGATATGGTCAGTTGAAAGCTACGAGCATGGAAAAGATGAGTGGAGAGAAAACAGGCATATCCTTGACATTCACAAAATTATGACGTTCAGGGCGTGTACCTTTAGAATGTTGAATGACGTGTCAGTCAAGCTGAAGCACCATGGCAACTGTTAATCGATATCAAAGCCTCTAACATTAATATCCATAAGTAAGACTCCATTTATTAGGAGTTGAGTACCCAAAATATTTTTATAATCTTTTTCTGTGGAAACGATACGGGTTACTCTTAACAGTCCAAAATAAAAAACAGCCTCCCTTCCACACTATTATATAGGTTACGTAGAATTGCAGGACAAATTTTTTTAAATGAACTGAAGTCAATAAAATAGCTACATACGTGCATGAAACGGTGATTCAAAATTGTTTGATAACTTAAACTTAAACATGTCCGTTACCAGAGAAACGTTCTTTTCAGAATAAGCGACTGGGCCTCCTAACAATGAAACCCTCAGTTGGCAAGAATTAACAAATGGTAAACACCACAGCGTACACTATTGAGTTATGGATGTACGCGGGAGGTTGCTAAGCACGAAAGAAGCGTAAGAGTCGCTCGAGGCGGTAGCCGAGAGCGACTCTAGCTTCTTGAGTGCATAGCAAACCTCCCAAGTGCATCCATAACTCAATATTGTACGCTGTGGTGTTTACCATTTGTTTTATAACATAACATTGATACATTGTAGCTAAAGAGTTCCCTTTTATTTAACAAATCTTACG